TCAGCTGGAAGGTTCTTTGATACAAACCTGACTGGGCCTGAGACTACCCAAGATCACATGCCTGGCATATGATGCTGACTACTGGCCAGGGCTCTTGCCTGAGGCGGCTGCCTATTCTGCTATTGAGTTCTCACAGCATGGTGGCTTCTTCTGAGAGGGACTGTCCCAAGAGAGCTCATTTCAAGAAAGAGGAAGTGGAAGCTGCCAGTCTTCTAAAAGACTAGACTCAGCATTGCTTTTGTAGTGAAAGGCCCAGATTCAGGAAGAAGGAAAGAAAGAACTCCCAGTCTTGCGGGAGAGTGTAATAAAAATTGTGTAGATACGTTTAGTGTACTCTAGCCTCCTATTGGATTTCAGAAGCACAAGAATTTCTCCTTATTTGAGACACTCAGTTGCCATTGATTCTGGTATTTGAACAGTATCTCTTTTACTGATTTGCCCCATCACTGAATTTTTGCTTCACTATTGTCTTTTTCATTTTTCTTTCTTTCTCTTTTTTTGCCTTTCATTTTGAACTTAGACTTTGTGGACATCAAACCAGAGGCTACATTCCCTTCACCTTACCTTTCATTTTACTTATCAGGTAAACAGAATTTGTTTTCCTGTCTTGCTCCACGAAGTCATCATTGTCTTCTAATAACATATATTCATTTTCCACAAAGAATTTCCAACTTGGATGCAAAGATTCTATGATTTTAACCCATAGTCACTTCTGATGGAAGAGGTGTCAAATGGAAGTTCTTAAAATTTTTTTTAAATTAACACAAAATTTATATGTATTTATAGATACTGTGTGATGTTTCACTACCTGCAATTTGAACATATATATTTCTGGGCCATCCTCCACTGCATATATATTTCTGCAATATATATGGGAAGCATATATATTTCTGCAAAGATTAATCATTTCTTTGTATGAAAAACATTTAATATCTGTTCTCGCTTTTTTGAAATATACAGATTATCATTATCTATAGTCAACCTACTGTGCAATAGAACACTAGAACTTATTTCTGCTACTTAATCACAACTTAGTACCCATTAATGAATCCTTCCCCATTCCTCCTTACCCCTACTCTCCCCAGCCTCTGGTAACCTTTCAAATGGGTTTTTCAAGTTGGAAAAACCTTTGCTGGTACTATCTTGGTGCTATTCCACTGTTTATAGTTTTTTGTTCCCCCTTAATTTCTTTGGCTGAATTAGTAGATGAATGTTTAATGATCAAAGAAAATAAGGCAATGGAGATGGAATGAATGATATTCTGGGGAGGTTTTGGGGTATAGATCCATCATAGACCTCATGTTGAATGCAAAATTGGGATGGGGACAGAGTAATTGTGGATGTGTAGATCTTTTCCAGGATTAGGAATGGGAGAGGAGGGGAATAGTGGGTTACAATGACTACATATCAAGGCTTTTCTAGGATAATATTCATTGTCCAAATATTATGCTCTATTGTCCCTTAAAGTCAACATGGCATCCATCTATATGGTTTGCTTCCCTCATTTTTGATACCCAGGCAAGCAACCTGTCACTGGAGGAGAAAATGATGATGCATATTTCCAGTTTATTATAATCATTCCTGAACTTGTTGTGGCTTAGAGCTGATGGCTTGGACTTATTTAAATTGTTTTCAGAGTTAATGATAAGATTTTATTTTGGTAATAAAATCACAATAATGTCTAGAAAGAGAACATGTAAGTTAAGGACAATTTGAAAAGGGAATAATATTTTTCAAATATGACAATGCCACACACACCCTCTTTTGAACAATGTAGAATATCGACATTCTTCACAACAGAAAAACATTGCCATTACTTTTCAAACTCAATGAGAAATATAAGTCAGGATTTAATCAATAAGCAGTGATACTCACTTTTTATGATAACTCCTCCTAAGGAATAATGTACTAAAAACAAAACTATGTGACAAAGGAGCACTAATTACAAATGCCTGTGAATCAGCAGTCAAGACTTTATGTTGTGCCACCAGGCTCATTTTCCCAGTTTCAAACTCTTATCAACACCAATTAAAAACAATCACTTATCGTTGTAAAGTTTTTTCCCCCATAGGAATTGTGCAAAGGCACCATGACTCTTATAAACATGAAATAATTTTTAAAAATTTATTTTACTAAGATATTTCCATAAATATAAATTAGTGTAAAAGACCTTAAGGCTAAGTTTAAAAGTTGTCCAATTAAGCAGAATTCTTTTCTTGATTCTTAGTATGGTAGGGTTATTGAAGGTTTTGTTGGCTTGGTAACTAACAGTGTTAATGCTAACACTGGGAGTCCCAAAGGCATAAGCCAGAAGGTAAAGTTGCCTGTGCATATGCAGGCTTTACAAGAAACTATATCGGTTTTGTTTTGAGTAAGGGAACAAAACTGCCACATAATTTACTGATAGTTTACTGCATCATCATTCATTTGCTCCTTCATTCAATCTGTAGTCTGTTTCTCCTCCCCTCATTCCTTCTCCATACTTAATTAGCATTTGAAAACATCACATGATTTAAATATCTCTTTTAAAGTCCACAGGATGAAGTCCAAACCAGGCACAGGCCATGAAGCCCTACTTTTTTTTGACTGTTTTATTACACTCTGCAATTTCACCTTTCATCCTGTCTTTACTGCATACCAAAAGCTCTACCTCAGTACTTCTTCATTGTGATCTGAAAATCATCAGCATCAGTATTAAAAAAGCATGTCTTGGTCAGGTGTTTGGCCTCGCAGTTAAGACAATGCATCCATCAGAGTGCCTGGGTTTGAGTCTGGGTTCCAGATTCTAGCTTCCTGCTAATATGTAGCACAGGATGATGGCTCAAGTGGTTGAGTCCCTTTCACACTCACTTGGCAGACTTGGATAGTGTTCCAGGCTTCTGGCTTCAGCATGGTACAGGCCTAGTTGTGGCTGACAATTTGGAAAGTGAATCAGCAGATGGGAGATCTGTTTCTCTCTTGTCTTCCAAATAAACAACAAAAATGATTTCTAGAAAGTTGCCTTGGGTACCATCCAGACCTATGATAGCAGGATCTTTGAGGCAGGGCCCAGGAAACTGCATTTTAGTGAGCACCCAGATATTTTATTCTTAAGCATATAGCAGTTTGAGAGTCACTCCTAGTTGCCTTGATAATGTCAAAACTTGGTATTCATTTGTATGTCCACTAAGGAAATAAGAGGCCCTCCCAAAGAGGAGGGTGTGTTCCTTGTTGAAGAAACTGCATAGGTGTGGGAGGCAGAATGTAGTTACACTGGCTCAACGTGGAAGAAAAGTGAAGCCTCAAAAACCCTCACATGATTTATAAGAACCCCAATCCTTCTTTCATGGTCTACTTCCAGCTGTCCTTTCCTTATTTCTTGTTAAATATCTGCACAGCTACCATGAACTCAGGTAGCCTGGAATGCCATCTGCCTCCTCCCTGGACAGCTGGGTCTCATGCATGATCATTAAGACACAACACAAATGTTACTCCTCTGGGAATCTCTCCCTGATATCCAAGCCATAGTGTATCATTTTACCATTTGTACTCGCATTCAATTTCACTAATGTCATTTTCTCCTGTATTTCGAATATAATGCGAATGTCCCTAAGTCCTGCATACTGTGGGTACAGCCCTGCAGTTTTGTTAATGATAATACATGAATTCATTATCGTGGTAACTTTTTTTTTTCTGTCATGTTGCTCCAGGGCTGTCTTACTGAATTCAAGAAGTTAAGTCCACACTCTCTGGAGCTGCTGCCAGTTGAGCCACCAAGTTTTCCCATCTCTCCTTCTCCATTAGAAGTGAAAAGCCAACAACAAAATCCTTTCAGACAGATCCTTCGAGGGCTGCAGGCCTCCAGTTGAGTGCCATCTCTCCAGGAACTCTATTATGGAGTTGGCTGGCACAATCCCCTCTCTTCCGACATGGATAAGCTTTGCCATGTGCGCTCTGCAGGGCCCAGGCTTTCAGCTCCAGAGGTGTTAAATGGCTTGGGAACATAATTTTAAAGGTGACAATTGGATACACACCACAATAAGCATCAAGGGATGAAAGCGCAACCAGAGCTCGAGCCGGGCCCGCTGACACCGCTGGCACCGAACCTGGCTGGAAGTTTCCTGGCAGTCGTGGTGAAAAGGGAACACCTGTTAGCGGATGCCCTTGTTCTCATTCAAGCCAGGGCTGCCAGACGCCTTCTACAATATCCCGGATGTACTTGCTTCTTCCCGATCGGCAGGATCCCACACCTGGCGAATCTGGGCGCCTGCCACCCCGAGGGCTTCCTCAGCCACGACCCCTGTGCGGCTCTGGGGAGGGGCGCCCGCTCTCACTCCCGCAGGGCGCGGGAACCCGGAGCTCCAGGCGCCGTGACGGCCTCCGGGCGTCCGGACACCACTCGGGCTGAGGGGGCCGCCCCCTTTCCCTCTGCCCTCAGGAAAGGAGTGGTCCTCGTAGGGGGCTGGGCACGCGAAGGTGGGGGACCCGCGCCGCTGCCTCTCCCAGGCCGGCCGGGATCCGCTCGTCAGATGGCCGGCGCAGCCCTCCCTGGGGCTCCCAGAGCGGGCTTTCCTGATCCGCGGTTCCCCGGGTCCCCTGCCCAGGCCTCCCGAGCCGCACGGCGGGGCTCCAAGTGCGGGCGGGACTTAGGCGCGGTGGGAGTGGCCTCACGATGAGGGCGTGGCCTCACGAGGAGGGCGTGCCTCGCCAAGCCTGGCGGGAGGGGCGGGGCGGGGCTTCAGCGGGGCGGGGCGGGGCCTCGCGAGGCCAGGCGGGCGGGGCCTGGGAGCCTCGGGGCGGCTGCAGCCGCGGCTTCCGAGCCGAGGAGAGGGGAGGGGACGGTACGGGAGGAGACGGGGCCACCGGCCGCGCGGAGGGAGTGAGTCACCTGACCGCTGCCCGCGCCACCCGCCTGCCTCGCTCGCTGCCGTCAGACGGGCCGCGCCGCGCTCCGGCTCTGGTGAGTGGCTTGGCCGGCCTGCTCGCCCTGCCCCGGGAGGGTCGCGGCCTGGGCCTGTGAGGGGAGGCGCCGAGGGGGCCTCCGGCGGCTGTTTTCTGGTGGTGGTGGTGGGTCGCGGGGCCGGGAGCGGCTGCGGCCCCGTTCCTGGAAGTGGCCGCGTCCACCGGAAGGGGCGTCCGTGGGTGCCCGTGGCTCTTGAGGCGGCCAGCGCTGTTGTTTACCGGCGCGCGCTGCACTTTACCCCCGGGCGGGCGCTCGCGCGCGCCGCGGGGTCCCGGGCGCCTGCCGCCCCTCTCCGGCCCCTCGGTCCCCGGGTCGGAGCCCACCCGGCGCCCCAGCCCGCGGCCCGCCCTGGCTGTGACACATCAGCACCGCCCTCACGGCCCGGGCCCCGTCCTGCCCTCTGCCCACTCCCAGCGTCTCCGCAGCGTCCCCCGCGCCGGGCGGCGTTTCGCCCTCCCAGCTGGGTGTGGGTCGCGCGGGTCATCGCGTCGGAAAGGCCGAACGGTGGCCAGAGCGGGAAGATCACCTGGTCTAACCTGCGTCTGGGGAAATTGGTTTTGGGGATTGGAGGTCTCAGGGCTCCCATTGTTGGCGTTTTGCCCGCTCGTCGTAATGGGGACTCTCACAACATGGTGAGAGTGGGTGTTGATTGTAGAGACACCGGCTTTGTGCTCCTGTAATGCATCACGAACGCCGTGGCTTTCTCTCTCTCTCCAGGCAGGCTCATGTCATTGAATAGAATTGTGCGGCATGCGTTTGTACCATGAGCCCTCTTTCTGCGTTCAACTTGGGCGGATTCAAGGTAAAGTGTAGTAGTAATTGTGGAGGAGCCTGTGTGGGAAAATCAAGCTACCATGTCGTCTTTGGAGGAACAAAGACTTTGTAGGATGCTGATAGTTTGGAGAATTTATATCTGTGTTGGAACTGTTACCCATGGAGGATGCCACTACTAGGTCTTTGTTCGTCTAGTGGACGCTTATTACATTCCACAGGGTTTGCATTTGAGGCTGTTTGGAAAGATCAAGGGTGGAAATTCTAGGGAGGCAGAGCATTTGAACGTTTCACATGGCCGAGCAAAGAAATGGGAAGAGCTGTCAGCTTGCTTCTTCCTGGTCTCAGGGTAGTGGTGCAAGGGCTGGGCTGGGCTGGGCTGGGCTGGGCTGGGTTTGGTTTGAAGGCACTTGTCACTTCTGCCATTGGACATCTTAAGGAAACCTAGGAAAAAAGGCTGCTGTGAGTCATCTTGGAGTAGGGTGGCTTTGGGGTAGTGCCTGCATCTTGTTTTGTTGTTGTTTAACATAAGGTTCTGTCAAGCGGTTTACCTTTGTTCAGTATGTTGGTTGGATAATGAGGTAGGATGACTCTTTAAAAAAGTTGTGTTGCTGAGTCATTCACCCGAGCCAGAGAGGTAATTAGGAACAGCTGGTGCAGATAGGCTCATCACATGCCTCCACTATAAAAGGCCAAGGAGCACTGAGAGGGATTGCTTCAGAAGGCTGAAGGGGACTCAGTGGTTGTCTGTTCTGATACATGTAATTAGCTGGGGAAGTGCAGGAGCACTCTTAGGAAGTGGCCAGGTAGCACTGAGGTGTTTAGACCAAGAACAGCTGCGAGATCTGACTGAGAATGAATTTGTACTGGAGAAAGAGCTAAAACTGGGGCAGAAATTTGCAGGCAGTAAATATTTGCAGGCAATAAATATTTGATACAATAAACAATACTGTACTTAGTTTTTTATTTCCTCTTGTTGTATGGTCTTTAACATTTCAAAACATGAACTTAATTGGTTCTTCATGAAAGTTTCTTTATGCTAACACAAAAGGGAGTTTTCCTCTTGTTTTTCATGACTCTTGGCTTTTCATGAATACAGGAGTAGTTTTTTGGTATCAGGAGGGTAATGTGAATGTGGGTGGATTTAACATGTCTGGTACAGTCAAGGCTAGACAGTTGTCTAATGAAAGTCAGATCATACTTATGTGTCTCATTCTCTTGAAAGATAGTACTAGTGTCTTTACATTGCGTGTCATTGTTTCTTGCTTAAAAGTAACCACATAACCCAAGCATAACTTTCCTCAGTGTGGACAAAGTTTAGGAATGGGAAATATGGAGGTGAGGGTTTGGTTCTTAACCTCATGTCAAAAGAATGATGAGTTCTTATAGTAGGTAGTTTTCATTTAAAACATTTTGTATTAGAAAAAATTAATTTTGTTTAAATTTGGGACTAGAGAAGATTATAAATGAATTTTTAGGGTCTCTAATGAAGAGTGCAAGGTGGTAAAATTAAGAAGAAGCTATTAAAACTTTGCTTTTTAAAACTTTTCTATAAAATAAGGAAGACATGAAAGATACAGATTAACAGTACTTGAGTATTACATAGTGAAGGTACATCCCCTCTACCCTTTTCTGCTCATACTTGTTATCCATTGCCAATAACATTTTTTAACAGCTGTACTTTTTTAAAAAACTTCTGATTTCTTCTTAAGGGCAATTTTTATCAATGTAATTCTGTTACTTTTATATTGTGCTTTAAAATTAGAAGCTTGAGTGTAATTTTTTTTGACACATGAAGGTTTTTTAATTTAGCAGTCAGCGTAGCTATTAATTTGCCTTCAAATTACATTTTCTTTTTTTTAATTTTTAATTAGTTTTTAAGAGATTCAGCGTGCTTTGTAGATAGAATTGTAAAAACAGTTCCCTCTTGAGTGTGAATTTATTACATTCTTGAAGTTAGTGATGGAAATAGAAAAAAAAACAGTTATATTTGGTAAATGGAATTATCGATTTGGAGACAAACTTAATGATTTGTTTGATCTGTGTATGTGATCTGAAGTGTAGTGATGTGTAAAAAGATTAATGAGAACACTTGATAATGTATACATTGGAGTGCAGTGTTTATAGAACAAATCTTTTAAGAGTTAACCATGTTCTGTGATTATTTATTTGAAAGGCAGAGTTAGAGAGAGGCAGACAGGGAGGGAAGGAGAGAAGGAGAAGAGAGATCTTCCATTCCCTGGTTCACTCCCCAAGTGGCCGCAATGGCCGGAACTGGGCCAGGCCGAAGCCAGGGACCAGGAGCTTCTTCCCTGTCTCCTATGTGGATGCAGGGACCCAAGAACTTGGACCTTGCCCGTTGCTTTCCCAGGCTCATTCACAGGGAGCTAGATCTGAAGTGGAACAGCCAGGACTTGAACTGTGCCCACACGGAATGCTGGAACTGCAGACCACAGTTTAACCCATTGCATGACAACACTGGCTCTTGTGTTATTTCTTGAAGTCTGCTTCTGGGCAGGGGGAGGTTGGGGAAACTTATGTCCTCTTTAATGATTCAGCAAATCCCTCGGGAAGTGGTATTAATCAGAAAATCTGCATCTTATGAGTGTGGAGGGCTGGTTAGAGGTTAGTATTTATCATTCAGTATAATCTCAGATGCCATATGCTTTCAGTACTCTGTACTGAGAGAGTTGATATGCAGAATAACAGATACGGAACCCTTGAAAATGGCCAGTTGTCAGAGATTCTCTTCACAATGCTGCTGATCTTTCCAAAACCTATGCTTTAGGAATTGCCTGCTATCTCCTGTTTTCTAATGTTCTGTTAATAGGAGAATTGTTTTAACCATAAAACCTGTAACTCTTGAGGATGATTTTTGAGATTATTTTGATTGAAAAAAATGTCAAATAAAATCATCTACTGATGTTCAGGTTAGGAATAATTTGCGTACTGTCTACCAGAAACTAAACCCCTTGGAGAAAGGAAGCATTTCAGGATTGCTGATAAAATATTGACTTACATATGAAACCTGGACTTAGGACATCCTCAGTGTATAACATTAATAAAGCTGATGTCCTGGTGTGATCACAGGATAGTTAACAAGAAAAGCAGAAAGCAAAGTGGTTAAAAGTAGGAGCTACAGAGCCAGACTGCTTAAAGTCAGGTTCTGACTGTGTTATCCCCTTTGAAACATTGAGCAAGCTATTCCACCTCGTAACTAATGCATTGTTGTCTCCTGTAAAATGAGGATGTTGATAGTAGAATCTAAGTCATAGAGCTCACTGTGTGAATTAAATGTGTTAATATGGCTTAAGTGGTTATAACAGTGCTGGCAATATATTAAACATCAAGATTAGGTGTTATCTGTAGTCCAGAGTCAAGGACTGGCTTAGTTACATAGCCATATTTTGTAGCTTTTAAAAACTGAATTGTAACAGCTGATTACAAGTGAGACTAAGGGAAATGCAGGTCACTGCTACTGGAAAAACAACTCATGTGAGCAAACACTGTCAATAGCACCATCTCACACACACCTAACTTCAGAGGGCAAGGAACTCTGTACCTAGCTTTTTACTTAAAGGAAGCTTAAGAGTCTGAGCAGAATGCTTTAAAGGTGGTCATTGCCAGTTACTGAAATTGGTTTTTGAAAAAATAAAAACACTTGTCATTTTTTATCTAGTCTCCAACATTATCGTTGAGAACATTGTGGCCTGGCAGGTTTAGTAACCTGTCTACTCCCTCCTTGCCTGTTAATACCAGGAAGGAATTTATTTCAAAATTCTTATTCCTGTGCCCCATCCAGTTTGTTGGGAATGTGTAGATTCACATTTTCCTGCAAGTTACTTTATTTAAGTATTGTGTTTTCTTTAGATGACATGGTGATACTAATATAGAAAAATTATCCATGATATGGATATGAATAATTGGATATGTTTGTCATAAAGCTTCCTGCACCTATTAGTAATTCTGAAAAGTGTGTCAAACATTTTGAGTATCCTTTTAAATAAAGTGTAAGTTTTTTGCTGGTGAAGAACTAACTGTGTCTTCCTATTTTACCTCTTGTGGCAGACTGAATATGCCTTGGCTGTATTTGTTTAGTATGCTGTCTGTTCCTGCGCTAAGGTAGTATAGTATGAGCTCATTATAGTTCTATGATTTTGAAACTTGGAAACTTTTAGTAGCAATAAGGAGAGAACATTGTGTATTGTACTCCTTAACTTATTTAAGTGTGTGCCCAATTGAAATTCTTTTGATTATTTAGATTTTGACTTTCTGTTTTTAATCATTGGTGTGATTATTGTGGAAGAAGCTGGATTTAAATCATTCTTCTAGTTCATCTTCTGAGATAGAAAACTTGTGACTTAATTTTATCTGTCATTGATAGAATTGAGTAAAATATAATTTGCGTTGTGTAGATATTAGGCATCTTATGTATCTGATACCTTTCTTTCGATATTTTCATATCTCTAGAACAGATCCTTTATTTAGGATCAGAGCATTTTAGAAAATATTAAAATAAATGTTACCCTAAAGCAAATAAAAAGGAAAAAACAGAAATAGTGATTGCAAGGGTCTTGGTTGTTAATGCCTGCTGTGTGATTACAGTGGACATGCCGTGAAGTTGGGTAGCTGCTGGTTCCTTTCTAAGTACTGGCATAATTTAGAAATTGTTACCTGAATGCTACTGAAGCTGTGTGCAAATCATGTTCTTTTAAAAGTAAATTCAAATAATTTTCTTACTGCCTTAGGAAACTCATTGTTAAAAAGAATACTTTGGTAATAAAATTGATTCCAGCTTCTGTTTGATAAGGTTATTTATAAGGTTATTTTCACTTTATTTATTTATTTATTTGAAAGACAGAGTGATAGGAGAGACAGAAAGCGCGCGCCAGCGAGAGAGAGAGAGAGAGAGAGAGATAAAGAAATAGAGAGTCAATCTTCCATGGGGCAGTTTACTCCTGAAGGCCACAATGGCTGCTAGGGCTGGGCCAGTCTGAAGCCAAGAACTGAGAATTCCATCTGGGTCTCCCA